AAGTCATATTAATGTACACAGAATAAATTCTGCTGTAATTGCTGGGCTATTCATTTAGTCCCCAGCAGCATTTACTGAAATGCCATCAGTTTAAGTCAGCTTTCAGTCTGGGACTTTGGAACAGCATCTTGCTCAGTACTACTTTAACAATAAATGTCAAATTAATCAACTAACATCTGTTAAACAAATACAAAATATAATGCAAGCATACTTTACATATTTTTTGTTCTGAGGTAGATGACAACATTATGAAAATGTAAGCAGCACGTGACTCTATTAAGGTTTGCAAATATACATGAACCTGATACAAAAAGCAATGGATATGTCTAAACCATTCATCCAATCAAAACACTATAAAAACAGAGACCAGTTTATGAAGTGGTATCTTCATTCTGCGGGGAGGAAAGGGCTCTTCCCCCCCCCCCCTTTTTTTTTTTTTTTTTAACCTGAAAAAGATGAAGAAAGCAATAACCAATGATAATTATGCCCATCATGAAACAGTAAGATCTGTGGTAATTGATGTGAGAACTTCAGCCTACTGAATGCGAGTCAGATCACATTGCTTTCTTTCCTATTTCACTATTGCTCTTGGAATTAAAAAGAAAAAAAAAAAAGTTCATGTTAGCTTTTTTAATTTCTCCCATGTGTTTCATATTACAATAAATCCTATATTACAGACCCACATTAATGAAACAGAAGGCAACTGGTCCTATCCAGAAGAACAAGAGTCTGCATACCAGTGAGAAGGGCAGCGAATACCATGCAGCATTTACTTCTGACAAGAAGAATGACTTCAATGTCCCTGTGCCACTTTCCTCACAAATTTCTTCCTACAGGGAACATTAATCAATGTGTGTTGCTGACAAGGTAACAGTTGTCAACCCTCCTGGTTGTTATATTGCCATAATGCAGCTTCACCCAGAGCCGACGGCCTGAACTGAACTCAGGTGCAGAGAGAATGCTCGCTGCATCAATTCTCAGTGGACAGATGACAGACATATCTGCTTTGCTGCAACACCTTTGTGTTTAGGCTTCATTTGCTACTTCCAGTAAATCCAATAAAAATATGGGGAAATTTTCATTCTTTCAGTGCCTTTTCATTCTTTCAGTGCAAGACACTGCAGCACAATTTAAAAATAAATCTTAAAACAATTTTATGTTTAAGAAGGATCCAGCAACTCTTAGAAAAGATAGCTGAAGATTGCTTATCAATTTTTTTGCTGAGATTATTTCTTAGAGCATCCAGCATGCCACATTCCTGTTTTGTGTTTACTGAAACTGCAACTCCAGATGCACTTGCAAGACCACATTTCTTCTGCTGAGTCACAAAAGAGATCTGACAACACTACCATCCTTGGGAGACTGATGAAAAAACAGATAACAAATAACTCACTCCAATTACATAGGAACACCACGGTATAGAAATAAAAAAATGGATTTAAATTCCAAGCTGGTTTCTTCAATACCAAGTCAGTCTTCCTCACGATCAGTTTTTATTTCCATGCTCATTGCCCAGATTAAACAAGCAAGAAGTAATCTCAGGCCTCATGCCCTGAAGCTTTGATTTACACAGGCCAAAGCACCACGAATGGAGACACTGCATCTATGCAATATAATCAGGATATTTTAAAATCAGACACTATAATCAAAAATTTAAACCTAGTTTGTCTATAGAAGGCAAAGAAAAGTGTGATAGGAACTTCAGAAAAGTCTAGTACGTAAGGAAAAATTATTCAATGTAAGAAGTAAATTCAAGAATGAAAAATGAATAACTTAAAATACAATTAAAATTCACCCTCAGCCTCTCCCTTTTCTTTGAGTTTTAGTATAACAAAGTTTACATTTTTATTGCTTGATGCCACTGACACCAGATGGAGCATTCTAGAGCTTGCAAAGTTTTTTTTTCCTTTTTTTTTCACTCAAACTCTGCTTTTTTTTTTTTTTTTTTTTTTTATGGGCCATCAGAAACATTTCAGAGCCACGATTATCAAGGCTTTAATGTTCATAAAAAATACTTTAAATACTCTGAGAGATTCTAAGTACTTTATAAATGTCATGGGATTGTGTGCATATAGCCCATACGGGAACCGCTTCATCAGAATGCACGCACTTGCGTTTCATTAGCAGTGATACGCGCAATACTTCCGGATTGCCCTGCTGTAAGGGTTCATGTGAAATCTCTCACAGTAAAGTGAAAGATTTTTCAAGCAAACCCTGCTGATGGCATTGATGAGATCTGGAGGTTACCCTCTGGAAGAGAAAAGAGAAATTGGCTTAAACTGTAAGCATTAAATAGACCACTTGGCTGAAAAAAAGGAAGTCACAGCCTAGTGAAACAATAACGCCAAGGAAGAGTTCAACGTTCATGAATTGTTTTCTGAAGTCAGAGTAAGGCTTTTTATTTAAAAACAAAAAAACACAAATTGCACAGGTAGAGAACTGAACCATTCTTCTCATCTCCCTTTACACTCTTTCTGATAGGAGAATAATTGAAAAGTAAACAGAGTATAGCTTTGCCCTGATGCAATAAATAATAAACTCTGAATGGTATCTGTCCCTTTTCAATCATTATTCAAAAGGATGCTATAAGCACAAGAACTCGCAGCACGCAGAGTAACAAATCAAAGTCCTTTACATTCATCACTTGACTGTTCTGTGAGCTACTTAAATGAGTCAAAACAAGGTTTTCCACTGGGAGCAGGCCTAGAAGATTATATCTTACACTTTGAACCTACCAGATGCTGAATTAAAGAAAAACCAAGAAAAACTTCCTTGAAGCAAATACTACTACTAAGATGTAAAGCAAGTCTTAGCTTAATTCAGGAGTTTAATTCAAAGTTTAAGAAATTAAAAAAGGCTAGTTGTGATCAAAGAAATTTCATGTGGTAGCCAACATTTGTAGAACTTGATTTAGAGGTGGAAAAAAAAAAGAATATCTACATTTTTATTAAAGGATGGGCATGACAGACATTTTTGCACATTGCTGCAATATGAAGTTCCTTATATGAGACAGGTGGAATAACAGCCACTGCATCTGCAAATGAAGTGAAAAACCTCCTGGTAATACTTAACTAAACATATATGTCACTCCAAAAGTAATGCCTCCTATGTTTTTCCACGGCAACTACAACAGATACAAAGAGCACCATAACACTGTTTGGTAGAGCAAATTCTCAGCTACAAAGCACTGCTTTCCAACAGTCACCATTACTAGCTATATATCATTAATAGTAACAGCATTTTTCAGTCTGTTCAATTACAACTGATCAGGTGCTAGCTCTTTCTCAGTGCAATATGTATGCTGAATACACAACATATATTCCATGAAGCTTGGAGAACTGCTCCAGTTTAACATCGGTATCCCAGCAGTATTCAGCTTTGTTCCTCAGTGGGTGACAGACCCAGTATCAGCAGGAATTACTTTTTTTCCAGGGCTGCAATCTGACTTGTACTGTCTGATTTACTGCTAGAGTCCTTTCCTTACCAATTGTGCTATGGAATCACTGAATATACTAAAGATAAGCAACTCTGCTGTTTCTAAGCTACTTTTCCTCCACAGCTTGTGAGGTTAAATTCATTTTGAGAACTGCTTTTAATACTTACTAAATGGCAGTCACTATGTGAGAACTTTTTAATTTTATATTATTGCCCAGCTGCTTCTCTTGTAATACAGGCCTACATTTATTACACAATAAGCATCAGCAATGCCTAATTGACAACACCTTCACCCAAGGACATAATAAAAAGCTTGTTACACTTGTTTAAATAAAAACAAACTAGTTCTCCTCTGTCTGCCCCTCCAAATAAGCAGATGCCGATTTCTTCCTGTAGTTCTTACACCCAGATTTCATCTAAACACAAAGGAAGGGATGTACATAAAATACTTTAGAAGTCACATACTTGAGTCAGTACAAGCTGTAAAGAATTTAAAGGTTAATTTCAATATGGAATTCCATAGTTCTAATTTGGATATCTGATTTACACAGATTTGGCAGTAGTGAAGCCTGTATTTCTACTGTACTTCTTTTTATTTTACTTTTTTAAATGTAACTTCAGTAGAACATTTTTATAGTATGTCAAACCAAAAACCCACCTTCCTCAGCTTCCCTTGTATAAATGAAACAAAACTGCTTAAGAATTATGTATGTGTGAAATAACAAGTAGAGGTTTCTGAAACAAAAGTGAAAGACTTTAAAAAAAAAAAAAAAAAAACATATTATATCTCCACCTTTGCCAAATTACCACAGAGACTTTTTGTCTCAAAAATGATGATAAAGAGAAAAATTGTGATCTTCTGTGAATATATTGATGCTGGTGTCGTCTTCTCAAAAGTGTATTACTTGGCACAAAAAAAATCCTCTTTGCGCGTCATATATGACTTAGCTCACAATAATTTAAGACACAAACCTTCTGTAAGCCCATTTCCTAACTGCTAAAGTAGATCATTTTAGAGGATTTAACTTCAAATTGAAAAGCAAAAAAAGGTTAGATTTTCACTACTACATTCCTACATTCAGATAAGTGTTTTAAGAACAGCTTGTCTTTCATCACCACTTCCCTCAGCCAGGAGTCTGACAAACCACCATGATTTGGTATTAAATTCTTCTTACATTAGTGATAGCTTGTGATTATAGGTTTCTGGCACTGCTACTGAGCTGTGTCCAAGCTCTTTTTCCCCTCTTATTTTGAGACAGGATATTAGGCCTGTCTCTTAGATCAGAAGATAAGTAATAGCTGTTGAGTTCATTGTATTTGACGATCATTTTTCACTCCACCTTCAGCAATGTCTATTCAAAAGCTGACCAACATCTCTTGTGTAGAAAGCGTAAATTCTTTATGGGAAAATAATTGAATCAGTAGACAGAGGGAACACCAATATGAAATACATTGCCATTAATTCCTTTCCCCACTTCCAAAGTTCACAATCTGCTGTGAGAGGTTTGTTAGAATGATGTATGTATTTAATTACATCCAAATGGGAAATACAATAGGTTCCAAAATTTTAAGCATACCATAGCTATTATTACCACATATAAGCTGTGATTCACAGTAAGACCCCTCTATTTCTCCAATAATACAGGATTTTCTATTTCTCCACAGTTCATTATTTTACTTCTTTCATCTTAATTCACACACAGCTGCATATATCTTCGCCAGTCAACAGAAAGAAAAGAACATCTCGTTCTCTGTCTTCTGGGCAGCCCCCTGTAATGAATTCATTCAGACAGGAAACAATCAGAGATCGCTATAGGAAATAAGGTTACATCACTGCTGTAAACTTCACTCCTCAAGTCAGAGTTGTTTGTACCTTTCAAGCTGCTGAATAGGATATGTGACAAGAAATTTATGAGTAACACTGGCATACTTTTATAATTAAGTGATCTGTAAACACGCTATAGTGTGTTTCCCATATAGCATTTCCCATTATTTCCCCAAGCCTACCTCTTACTACTGTCCATTAGTTGAGAAGCAGACTCCCATTAGTGATATACTGCTTCCAACACGGTAGGCTAGCTTGGTTCTGTGCTAGCTTTACCATTCCCATAGTGCTGACCTGCTGTATATTACTATTTGTACAAATACTGTAACAATTCCAAGCACATCCCTCCAGTGTCCTCTTATGGACTTCATCAAGACTGCTCGCATCCTAGCAGAATAAAGTCAAGAAACCTCAATTTTTTGGCTCTACTAGACTGAAATGTATGTTCCATTATAAAAATGACATCATTATCATGCCGCCTTCAATATACTTCAACTTTATTTTCTTTATTTTGTGTAACTGCACACTAACCTCAATATAGCAAAAAGTTTCAAGCCTGTTTGTAAGAGGTACATGTAGCTAACATCTATTTAGTTCTAGTGACTGCTTCCTAAGGTATGTTTTGTCTTCTGACTGCGACTGAAAAAAGAAAAAACAAACCAACAAAGTGAACTACAAAATACAAAATTCTTATTTAGAGAAGGATACAGTATCTCATTTGCTTGGATGACATATTCTTTTCTTTGCACTAAATGATACATCTTAAAGATGAACTTTAATCAAGTTATGCGCAAGGTGTGTTGTTTTTTGTTCTTTTCTTTTTTGACTCTTGAAATGGGAATGAAGCACTGCACTTAGTCACCCATCCCCATCACGCTTCAGCTTAAAGATACAACTTTCCATTTCCAGCCTCCTCCATAGAAACTGTGAGGTATACCCCCCAAAAAAGTGAGGAGGGAAGCCTCTGAACTCTAAACAGAGTACTTCAAGCTTGATAAGCCTGAGCGAAGCATTATTTATGACCAATTTACATATGTAAATGCCAGCAATGGGAAATCTTTTAATGTTAAAAGAAACCATTTCCTGGAAGATCAGTGAAGATATGAAGAGTCGTTCTCTACTTCAGAAGTGTGAGAGAAGAAGTTGAAGAAAAATAATTTGAAAGAGTTAGAATGTGTCATCAGAGATGAACAGCAAAACCTTGAAGCAACACCTTACAGTTCCAAGTAATCCTCCTGGTTTCAAAAAGGCTATACTAACAAACAGCTATACTGGAAAATGAGGAGGACATATGACTGCAGCTGAATTTCTGAAATCATAGTAAATTACAGTAAGTCTCAAAAATGTATGTGCAGATAAATCCAACACTTCAAGAGACAACCCACAAAGTACTGAAGTAAGCAACAAGTTTTAAGATGAACATCACTGTGAAAACAAGGAAAAAGCAAAGGAAGCATGACCAGTTGACTGTGATTCACATTCTTCATGCTGATGACTGACGATCACATGACATTCCGCGGGATCGGACAGGAAACATGGCCCACCTTAAGAAGAATAAAGTATTCTTATTATTCTAAGGCATCCTAGGCCATCTTCTAATGATTGGAATGATGACAGAAATGCAAATGACTACATTTGTAAAGAACAGTAAATAATTTGCAAAAATCCTTTGTATTTGGATTAGTGTATTTTCTAAAACGAGCTTTAGATTTCAGAGGGACTTTGATACACGTCAGCCACATTAGAATCTTATGAATCACTTCTGAATTAAATAGAAAATGAGGGAAAAAACTCAAAGCACCAAAAATACTGACTGCCAGAGTTCCATAGGGCACTAGACAGTGCTTTGAGCTTAGCTAGTGTACTGACTTATGTCACAGTAAGTTTAGCAGGCAGCCTTGCAGTCAAGAAAACAGACAAGAGATCTGCAATCAACTCTTGGGTTGTGGAGTAGATAAAGAAATGTATAAAGAAGTCCTTATGAAGTTTTAACTGTGAGAGACTTGGAAATATTATTCCTCTTGTGCTAAGAGGGAACTAATCAGGAATTGGTATCCCACAGATATAATGTTAAATGTGATAAATTTAAAAATAATTTGGATAAATACTGATGAAAGATGAAATATTAACTGTCCAACCAGATGACATTTACACACACACACACAAAGTGCTGAAATAGCATTAGAGTGCACTGACGATGCTGCAAATGTCCCGGGGTAAAAGCTGTCCTGCACTTTCAACGACAATCAGAGCACAAGTACTCTTTCCCATCTGCAGCCAGTACATAAATCACTGACATCTTTCCTTCCCACATAATTAACCGACCTGGAAGGAGGTCAGCATAAGGAAGGAATATCTTGCAGATGAATACTGTGCCTGAACCTCTGCTTACTTCTGAAAGAATTCAAAGGCAAAGGCATTTCAGACCCACCCTGTCAAGGGTGCCACACACCTATCTGTAACCAATTAATTGTTGTGCCAGACCAAAATCAGGTAAGATTCTTTTGGCCTGTTCCTATGATGACATAATACACAAGTCGTTGATAAAGCTTCATCCATTGTGTTTTGCTATTCACAGCCTTGCAACTGTCTTACAATTCACAGAATCACAGAATTGTAGGGGTTGGAAGGGACCTCAAGAGATCATCGAGACCAACCCCCCTGCCAAAGCAGATTCCCTAAACCATGTTTAGGGAATTAATAACCAATTGCTTATTTTGATTTCCTAGAGACACAACCTGGCATATCTAGACCAGCCCCAACACACGTACTTGTTCATTCAGAAGGAAAAACACTGGGGAGAGCTATTAAAAACAAACAAACAAACAAACAAAACACACACACAACAGTTGGGCGCTCTCAATAGTTTTTACTGAAAAGATCGCAGTGTTAAAAGATTAAGAGTTATACTTCAATTGCTTTGTACCATTAGTTTCCAGTCATTTTCCTTAGAAAAAGAGACTGCTTTGTTTCATTCTTCTCTCTATAACTTATATTTTCTCCAAAATAGTCTAACAGCTAATACATTTTTAAAATATGAAAAAATAAAATACTGCACTGAATTAAATTTTAGAAAAATATAACATTGAAATAACATTGAACTATTTAAAGAATTTTTTTTTAATAACAACTTATATATGTAAAGATTAAACACTATTAAATTTTCTAAGAAGTAGAGCATATTGTGTTTAAACAACCAGAAGACTTTCAAGAATAATCATGGATTTACTTAATTTAATTAAAGTCCTGGAAACGAACAACAATTTAGTTTTCTGCTTTCCAGTACTTCTAACCTAAGAAAAATCACATTTTGCTCATGTTTGTAAAATGTCCACCAGCTATTCAGATCAATAGAGCTCTCAAAACTCCCTTGGGAAGCAGCTTTCCGAGCAACCAACCACAACACTAAAACCAGGAGTCCACTCATTGATGCACTGAACATTTTCTCCTTTATCCTGAAAAGCACTTCAGTACACAATGCTCAACTTCTAACAGGTAAGAAATTGCATTAAATTCAACAAGCACCATTATTTTCTAGAGGACTGACAGCAGTCTGTACAACTACAGAATCACTGTCATTCATTTTTAATTCTGCTAACTACTACTTGTGCTCCAGAGAGCTTTAAGATCTGATCTTAACCATAAAAGTGGAACTGCATGTCGTTTCACTCCATCTTTGCTAGAACAATTTTGATTAAGATTTATTATTTGTTCACATCTTTGATTTACTGATGAGCCCTTGTTTTCATGACAGCAATACAGGTACCTGGGAATACATTTGATTACAGCTCAGATAATTTATCACTAAATTGTCTGCCTTTAGGCAGAAGCAAGTAAGAAGCAGATGCTTCTTTTCTTTAAGATAGGTACACCTTAAGCACTACAAAATTAACATCTACCCACTTCAGCCTACTGACAGCCAAAAATTGCACATAAAGTTTAGAAGCCTGCTCTCTGATGAACAGTTCTCTCCATTTCATGATGCTCGTGTTTGGAAAACACAGAAACCCAAAGTAGATGCCAATTCTTCTTGAAAAAAAAAAAAGAAAACACCACCACCAACTGAAAAACCAAGTCATAGACAGGCAAAATGTAGTCGTCAGTATGGATGCATGCATATAGCAGGTACTTTTAGTAATAACGCAACATCTAACAGTTGCTTGAGCATAAATCAAGACCTAATTCTCTATGGACAACAAAGTTCTTCCACAACAGCCTTCTCAATTTATCATATTCTAATTGAAGAGTAGCCTCTCCACAGCCAATCAATATGCCAAGCAGATGGCATGTACTTTTCAGAGTTCCAGACGTCAGGACTCCGCAGCTCAACCTTCCAAACCAGAAGGATTGCTCCTAACAGTACCAGATTTAAAGAAAGAGCTTGAATATGTTACAGCACGCAAATGCAGAGAACATAACTGAGCTTCAGTTATACTCAGCTAGACTCAACCAGAAATGCAACGCACACCTGTGATTTTTTGACAGTTGACAGATTTTTTCTTAAGAACAGTCCTAGCACTCCCCCGTATTTTTTTTTTTTTTAGTATTGGACCCATCTTGGTGTAACATTTATCCTATTTGCTCTTACACAGATGCATGTTAGCAGTAGCATTGTGCATTCTCCTCTCATTGTGAATGGATGACAGAAATACAGAGCTACAAATAGAAGTGCCTGTATTCTGAAATGGATAAATTCCTATCTCCAGGTAGCATTAAGCATTTCCACGCAAGGTTTTGAATCATTGCCCATTTGTACCTTATACTTGCAGCTCTATATTCAGCTTTATTTTTCTCTTACTGTACGTTACAAACAGTACATCACAAACTAGCCAACATTAAGGCTGCATTTCCACCTCTTCTGTTTAACTCTCTCCCTGAAAGAGAGAAAGAAGAGTTAAACTACTAAAAAAGCATCTTCAAATAAATTTAAATTTCCTTCAGTATTGTAGACATCATCCAACAGGTTTCAGATCAGGTGAGAAACAAACTATGGAATCACACAATAATATGGTTGGAAAAGACCTCCAAGATCGTCTCATTCAGCTGTCCACCAGCCACCAATACTGCTCACCAAACCACATCCCTAAGAACCACATCTACCCTCTCCTTAAACACCTCCAGGGAGATGGTGACTCTGTCACTTCCCTGGGCAATGCATTCCAAAGCCTCAGCACTCTTCCTGAGAATAAATTTTCCCTAATACCCAATCCAAATCTCCTCTGGTGTAACTTGAGGCCACCTCCTCTTGTCCTATCAAATGATACAAAGTACAGGATAGTCTCTGATTCCCATATCAATATCAGCTGCACAGTTCACAAGAACACATTCGAGAAGTTAATGAGCAGCTTTCCTCCTTCTTCCATAGGGTGAGACCTGTTGAATTGACTCTGCCTGCCATTCTGTTGTACTAAGCAGCTCATGCAGGAGCATATACTACGTGCTCATTTTGTGTGTACTCATCATAAGAAATAACAGATGTTTCAAACAGAAAAAGAATGATTTAGAGAGAATTTATTTCAGCAAGGACAGTGTTTGAGGCAGCAGGCATTAAGCAGATAGCAAAATATTATTTTAGTCTCAGCTGGTGAAAGGAGAAGGTGTGATATTTAATCATGCTGCTAGGTTAGAACTCTACATGGCAGCTGGCTGACACATCCTGCAGAAGGGTAGCTGCCAAAGCTTTGCTTGAAGATACTTTTTTGCTCTAATATCAGTCACAGAACACAAACATCAGCCAAGTAAGTTTTTATTTTGTGCTCTACTCTGTGCACTGGCGTGTGGGATTATTTCTTCGTTTGAATTTTAGATGAGCAGTTGATAGGAATATCAATACTGTTACTAGCATCAAAGCTGAGGGAAGGGAGAAAGAATTTCAGGAAAGAGTACACAGGGCATTATCCTAAGCAATTACTCTGTCACAATCCATACGTTAGGACAGTCAGATGACAGAACGCAGTACAAGAAGGATGATCAACAACTGCAAGCGAGCTGGGTTGGAAACTTCAGTGGCCACAGAATGCAGAGAGGATGCCACTAATTAAACATGGAAGTAAAGGATGCATTGTTATCTGATTTGAAGATACGACACAATACTTAACATAATATTTGACTGCCAAATTAAGGCTAGTATTTCTTCTAGTCACAACACTACATTCATTCAAGTATTACATCACAGTGGTTCCCAATCATCTTCATAAGAGCCATGGAGGCAGCTCTCATCACTGACAGATTTGGTCCTTCTAACTTCCAGAAACAATTGAAGTCCCACAGTGCTGATAAAAAGATGCTGATTATAGGGTTTGCAGTTTGTTCCCCCCTCCCCCCCCCCAGTATTCAAACTCAATTCTAATGCAATTTTTCACCTGTTATTCAAAGTCACACAGAACAGCCAGGGTTGGAAGGGACCTCAAGGATCATGAATCTCCAACCCCCTGCCACATGCAGGGCCACCAACCTCCCCATTTAATACTAGACCAGGCTGCCCAGGGCTCCATCCAACCTGGCCTTGAACACCTCCAGGGATGGGGCATCCACAGCCTCTCTGGGCAGCCTGTTCCAGCACCTCACCACTCTCTCTGTAAAGAAATTCCTCTTGACATCCAACCCAAGTCTTCCCTCCTTAATTTAGGATTCAACTTATTCCGTAATAAATCTAAGCGGTATAGCAAGAACCTTAATATTTTCAATCACTTCCCTCATAAAATTTACAATACGAATTTAACTCAAATTCTTATTAGAAACTAGTAAACTAAATAAAACCGTGGATCTTAGTTATCTCAGGTACTATAGAAACATGAAAATTTGAAAGAAAGACAAGGAAAAAAAAACAAAACCCACAAACAACTTTCAGACATCACTGTTGAAGACAAATGTTTTCCCCACTGTTTGAATGCCTTTATGTTGTACAAACTAAGACTACTTAAGTAGCACCTAAGAAAAAGCCAAAGTTAAAAAAATAAAAACATACATGTGCAGCTAACATAACTAGAGTAACTTCTTGTCCTAGACAAGATACCTATTGCCAAAACCAGCCTTGGTAACTGCAGAATAATGCTAGTTTTTAAAAATAGAAAATAATTCTAATGAACAAAGCTGAGCAGAGCGGGCTTTAGTACCCATCAGAAGCTTAAGGCTCTCTTCTCAATAATCAGAGCTTTAAAACATGAAGATATACTTCAAAACATGAAGATATACTTTAGTTTCTCTTAATTGGAAGCCTTTGAAATTAACTATTATTCAATGCACAGTACTTGAATTTCTAGAATATATTTGTAAAATATAATTTAATGATAATTTAAACTCTTTGAAGTCTTGTACTCTCCTTCAGTGACTGTCAACTACTTTGACAAAACTGACACAGAAGTTTCCTTAAGAAATAAAGTGCTTTCAAATGAATACTTGTGTGACAAAATGGATTTTTAACCTGCCCTCTGAGTCATGCCACTTGACCATTTGCTACGCAAATACAGAAGTGAGACAGCAAAGATTCATGTTACCTATTTTAGCAAATACTAGCCTGTCACAGGTGTCAGCAACACAGATATCAAAAGATGAGGCAGCAAACACGAAAATACTGCAAATGGTCATTTTCACTTTCCAATGTGAAACTAATTGTAAAGTAGTATACAGAATAGTATAAACACAAGCCTTAAAAAAAAAAAAAAAAAAAAAAAAAAAAAAAAAAAAAAAAAAAAACACCACCCTTCGGTAACACTTACCTTTCTTTGCCTGTAAAGTATACATTCTAACTTCCACATCTATGAAGTGGAAGTCTGCTTATGTGTTACAAGGAAAACATCATTTATAAACACTTTCATGTACCTCAAAGTCCTATTATTCAGTCTTTTTTGTACTGGAATAGAAGACTTGTGTTTGTATTCTAAGCAATTATGTTTAAGCATGCAATTGAGAAAGCACCATATATTCATGAAGTAGTTCCTGACTATTCATAAGCTATCAAACATCATGGTATAGCTCAAGTAAATTATTTGGGTGCTCAAGATCCAGGTTTGAACTCCTAGTTCACCAGCAACTTCTAATGTCCATACAGTTACTTTAAGCATAACATGTTGAGTGTTTCTCATTAACATAAATCATCAACCCACAGAACACAAATTAAGTCCTAAACTCCGGAAGATTGGATGAAGCTTTAAAATTACAAATTGTTTCACAACGCTGAACAAGAATGACTGACAGTAGATATTTAAATACATGATCTTCTGTGATTCAAGAAATTCTTAAAGTTTAGCTGATTTAGGCATTATTGTGACAAAAAAAATTATCAGAGCCAAAACATACACAAAATACTTTCCAGCTGAACTTCACTGATGTTTCAGACAATATGGAGCTCAGAGGCTAAAATGTAAAAGATCATAAGTGCACAGGAGGTGACTGCAGTGGCACGGGACAAAATATTGTATTTTCTTGACCAGTATGGGACTAAATAAAAAACAAATAAAAACAACCCACACAAACCACATACATGAAGTCTGTAGGAAACAGAAATAATGGTCTTTCCAACCAAATATCTGAGCAGGAACACTGCCTGGTTTTGCTCCCTGACAATGCAATTCAGGGTTCCCTCTTCACCGGTTTCTTTCTGGTCACACCACTACAGATACCAGAGATATATGAGTTTTATAAGTAAAATAACACAACCTAGTTAATTAAAAGAAGGATTTTGTAATCCCAAGTGTGTAAATCCACCAGTTTCCTAAATTCTATAAGGAATCATTTGATTTTTCAAATATCTGGAAAGCTGTTGGGGTTGGGACGGAAAGCTGCCAGGTTTGCTGGAGTTAACACAATTATCCTCCTCATTACAATCAACAACTTAAATAACTACTTACTGCACAACACTTTTTTCTGTTATTTTCTTTTGAAGATTTTGCAGCACTCACTCTTAACTCTACCTTCAGAATTTTGCAATGAAGACTAACCAAACTCTTCCATACCATCGCATCCCTCCTTTTGTACAAATCATTTAAAGTCTGTTTAAGCCAATAATCAACGAACAGCAATGCATGCAGTTCTTTTATTTTTAGACAGGCCTGGATTACATCAAAGTTTTACTTCACTGCACATGGAAATCCCATGTTTTCTTTTATTTGTATGACTGACCCACTTTCTCTATTAGCTTAAAAATTCCCTGTAAAATATGGTACATAGCTTTTTTTTTTTTTTTTTGTAACTTGCAAAGCGTGATTCTTCAATCACAGGATCATTCAACGTTAAAATAAGAATTGTTAAAAACAGGACTTTACACCTTGGCAAAGATTATCTCACACAACAAGAGAACTTAAAACATGATGTTATTTACTTTTCTTTAAAACACATTTCACATTATTCCATTACTTTGAATAAGGACGACAGAATTGAGTAAATATTTCTGCTACAGTATGTTACCTACTTGGGTCCCACAAAGCAGAATTCTGCCACTTTTACATAACAACTGTAAGGTTGGTTTGGAATTTAGTTGTATTCAGTATTAAAATTAACTGAAGAAATGTGGTTAAGTATAAAATTGTTTCTCATTGTTACTATTCTCTGAGAAAGAACGGTTGCTCACACTCTTTAATTTTAAAATGAGCTATTAAGAAAGTTAATCATGCTTAATCCTACAGAGAACAGACAACACAAAACAAAAGGAATCTCACAACAATAAGCACAATAGACTGAGTTTTGCAAGATTCCACAGGTGTTTTTCTCCTATACTAACAGCTTCTGGCTTTTAATAGACTAGCAACAGGACTGAACTAACTTCCTGATTTTCCTTACCGCGTCAGTGTTAATAAATCGTTAATATTCAAAGTTGTAAAATTAACCAGACACATTAATAACTTGGCAGCAGTGCTATGAGGCAACGATGACATACATTTGACATTAAGCATTTCTTCTTACCTTCAGTAGCTCCATGAACAAGGATTCTGTAGGAAAGTGCTGAGGACAAGCCCACTCTGCAGTCATCTCCACCACCAGCTCTCTCTTTTTCTTCTTTAGCACATGAAATCAGAGCAGAATCTCCATCTTCTCCCCAGGAAAACACAATGCTAACAGCACCCAGGCATGCTTTACTGCCTTGATTAAGTCCTCTTCTGCAGCTGCTTCTCCTTGCAGCTGAGTCCTCATGTTGGCCATGCCCATTTCTCCCCTTCCTGCTTATCCTCATGATAAATATCTATCTAAAAAAGTAGGCACCTTTTCTTTTCCATCTCCGAAGAGCATTTTGTATAGCATCCAGCCAGGAAAAGCATCACCTGATGTGCCTTTTCAAAGCGATAATGGCTGAAAGGTTCCTCGTTGCAGCTCTTCTCACAGACCAGGTGTGATACCCAGGGCTTGCGAGGCCTCCTGGATCCATCCCTCAGGATCACACCAGTCATTCTTTCAGGCCACAACTTTCTCAAACCGGGAAAAAGTCCCATTTAGTTCTGCTTTGTCCATAACAACATATCAACACCGCGCTTCCAGCACCCTCGTAGCTGAAGGGACAGCCTGGCCACCTCGCGGCACAGGAATGTGGTCTCAGTCCGCCGCGCAGCGCCACCCTGAGGCGATGGCTCGAGACGGCCAAAGCCTCGCGCCGCTCCCGCCGTCCCGCTCTGCCCCTCCTGGAGCCGGGGGTCTGAGGGCTGCGAGTTCCGCCAGCGCCACCCCGCCCTGAGAAAAAACTTGTATTATGAACAGTTAAGAAAATTGGTATGATTAGGCTTTTTCCGTAAAGTGGAAGTCAATAAAGGAGAAGGCAGGAAAAAGTGAGACTATGAAGTAATCTAAATGAGCACAGACACTGATTCTTTTTTTCCCCAGGAGACTGCTATGTAACAAAGAGGAAGGAAAGAACAGGCATTTTGTGATGTTTTGTGTTTATTTATTTATTTATAAGAAGATTTTGGCTAAGAAGATGCACAAATAGTTTCAGAGGGAAGAGACTACTCTTTCTGCGAGCCTGGTGTATGCTTGCAGCTCTGCTGCATGCACTGGGAGCTGAAACCAAGGCAGTAAACAGCTCTCAGAGGTGTCAGTTGTCTTTTGAAAGTATTGGAAAAAACCCTAAAGGCAATTCTTCCTCTGTTGCTGGAATGGCTGGACCAGCCTAGGTAGGTAGGCAATGTGCTGACAGCACAGTATTAATCTTAGCACTGAGGGAAAATGAAAGATGGACACATTTCCTCAGAGGAGTTTGAAGTTGTACTGTTTAGGTTGGGCAGTTTGAGAAAGAGAAGAGTGACAGAGATGAGGGAAACAGAACATGACTAACAAAGTAATTTTATGCAAATTCTTGGATTTTCAAGTAATAGGCCTTGTCACTGGAAGTGATTTCCCAAGGTGCTCCCAAATGCAATCTCAGCATAAAGTGATTTTCATGCATGGATATGCTATTTTCTATTTATGTACCTACTAAGAACAAACTGAAGTGTTCTCTAACAAGTGCTCTAGCCCACTCTTCTAGATGAACCAAAAAAATAACATTTCTGTAGAGTAATAAGCTTGAGGGAGAAAAAATAATAAGGCAATACTAAAAACACGTAGTTCATTTCTGCTGATATTTGTGCAGGCTGTGCTATTCAGTTTCCCATAGCCAAACAACATTATGCTTTGACCTTTCTGGTTCAAGTACTATGAGGACAGTTAATCTTGCTCGGCGTGAGGGTAAGAGATCAAAAAGGGAAGAAAACTGGACTGTGCACTTCAGCAGATGGCACTCTCTCCTCTTGAGTTGGGGCCCCAACCAAGGATGCTAGCTTGCAGTTTAGGGCAGGTGGGTTGCAGGATTTGCCAGCTCTGGCAGCCTGTATAAGGACATACAGTTCCAGTCACTTGTGTCCTTGAAAATGTCCATGTTTTGTTTGTAAAAGAAAACCAAGAGAAAGATTGTCTCAACTTGGGAGTCACCCAAATTGGGCAGATGGAATCATATCACTTAGCTTACTAAGTTATTCACATTCCACTCGGATTCAGCTTATCTTTACCCATGGATTGCAAAGATGTGCTCTTCAAGAGTTCATCTTACAGTTAGGCCCGCTCGTTGAAGTCATGGGCATAAGAAAAGAAAAAAAATATATATTGTAGCTTTTTCTTTTTCTTTTTCTTTTCTTTTCTTTTCTTTTCTTTTCTTTTCTTTTCTTTTCTT